TGGTAGAAATGTCCTTATTATTTCGAAAAATACATTGTTATTTACGTGAATATACCGGAATTTACAGATATACCGGTATAGATATATATATATATATATATCACGCGTGTTCTGTAAATTCCGGTAATGCCGCCGAGGAACCGTTAGTCAAATCGAATCTGATCGTGTTACTTTCGCGACCGCACGACCTCAGGGCGTTGTTAGTCTTGTCGCGGATCGCGTCTTATCGATATCTCTGACCTCGATAAATCGAGAACAAGGATCCCCAGCCTCCTTTTCCCACATGTCTACTGAAACGCTCGTATGTGTCGTACGAGCGGTAAATCAACGCGAAGAGCCATTAAAAAAAAAAAAAAATATCTCGAACTCTGAAAAATTACTATCGATATATGTACGTATCTCCCGTTCTCGATTTAATAACGGAGAGGAAGAAATATTTTTCAACATTATCGATTCGAGGCATTTGGTCCACATTTTCTATGTAATCCAAATATCAAAAATATATTCTCTTTCTATAAAAATCCCTTATTTTTTGGAGCCCATTATTTTAATCGAGCGGACGGAGATATACATTTCACGAGCATTAATAAAAGGTATATTATAGCGTAGACAAACGTAAAATTATAACTCCCGCGAACTATTTTTTTTTTTCATGCGCTGATTTCGCATAAAATTCACATCCATTGCGACACGTCGACATACTCGACGAAAAATTAAAATTAATTTTAATTCTCTCTCTCATCCGCCAACCTTTCCCTAAGTTTTTAATATTCGGTTTGAATATAGCGAGTATTTTTCCATTGCAATTCCCTCTCATCCGATACTTTTAATGCATCTGTATATCGTTCGTCAGACAAAACTCCGCCAAAAACAAGAAAAAATATAGACATCTATATTGCCGAGCATCTAATTATTACTTTCCATATTCCGTTGCTTTTCGCTGAAACGCGCTTCTCCTCGTTCCACCGGCCAACATCATGTAACATCGAAAAATACAGATATACAAATGAGATTCCCTCATTATATATGAATCATTTTGTTTCAACGGAGTTATTTTCATTCCGCGTACACAATTTTATTAAACAGAATATGTATTAATCAACAACAACGTAAGATAAATTCTATACATTTATCACCAAATATAAAACATGATAATTATTCTTGAATTATACGATAACGGCTGTATTAATAAAACATCATCTCTTTTGCGTCTCTTATGCGATAACAATTATAAAATTTCTCTCATTTTAGAAAGTTATCTGTCAATTACTTTACTCAGGATAAAGCAACAATTACGCGGGCGAACGCACAGCGAAGGAAATCTGTTCTCTTTCTTCTTGAATTGGATGCTTTCAACGTGTCATTTTGTACCGCATCGTAACAAAATTTCTTGTCACAAAGTGCCTGTACGTCAAGGTTGGGTGGCCTTGACTTTATAGGTAGCTACATATAAGACACTTTATTCAAGGCAACGAGGAGAAAAAGAGCTCTCTGAAAAGGTAATTAACGAATTTTTTAATGTTTAACCGCCACCTGCATTCGTTAACATTATCAATTTTGTCTCGTAAAAAACTATACATCTAAAACAATAGCCGTGAGAATAGCGATGTTAAATTATTTATTACATCAAATACGCACGTTAAAAGCAAATAGTTACGTGAACATATGTTGGCGATAATGTCGGGTAACGTTCGCACATACTTAAATCCCTAATTTCGCCATTCAATCTATCATTTGCTATTAACCTTTTAGTTCAAGCGATATCGATTTTAAAGGCTCAACTTGCTGTATTTTATACGCGCGGATACTATTTCACCTTTTTCAATATAAATTTTTGCACCAATAAAGTAGTGTAACTTCCTCTCTCTTCTCTGATTAACTCCGAGATACAATTTATATAAAGAATTCTCGTAACGAGATATTTATTATATTGCGATAAATTTTATTTCGCATATTTTACACAAACTTTTATAAAGTAGAGTATTATTATTAAATATGAATAAACTGCAGCTCATTTATTTTAATACAGTAAATCTGCAAGAGATTGTACTTGCATTAATTTTGCATTACAGATATTAGCTCATATATAAATATATAAATATAATATCTATATATATATAATATATAATATAATATATAAATAATATATAATATATAAATCTTGCGCAAATTTAATATAATTACGGGAGATCATAACTTTAAAATGAAAAATAATTTATCACTCACAGATACGATGCGCAGCAGCGGAATTCTGCCAACTACGACGCCAACTTGATCTGTAAAATACAAATACGTTAAAACTAAAGCAGCGTTCAAAATAAATAATATTTGAAAAGATAATTATTGCGCGTCAAATAATTTTAAACGTTTAATTTTATTCAACTAATACAAGTTAATGAATAATAAAATCATCTCTGGATTGCTCGGTTTGCCCGAAGCCTCCGTTTCCTTCTGTCAGATCCTTTTATTGCACATATAATCACCCGTGAAAACGTAGTTAATTATAATTGTATAACACTTATCGCGTGCAACCAGCACTTTGCTGTATTGCGATGCGAGTCATCACGGAAGTTAATGAATCCCGAGATAAGAGCATGAGATAAGAGCAGCACCGCTAATTTTAATAATCGTTAAAAGTAATTACGCTCGCAACTCTCGTATTTGTCGCGATCGCTTTTGAAAAAATAATGTGACGATATATAACTTTAAACATTGTTACCTTGTTCGTTCAAGTATTATTAACGTACTATTAAAGTGATAATCTTGCGTAAACACTAATTGTTGAAACAAAAACAAGTATCAAGAGCAAGGCTGCATATCTAAGTGGATGTGTTATTATTTTGTAATAATTAAATTTTTATAAAGTATTTTTACAAGTTAAATTTTGCACTGAATATCCCGCTCCTCGTGTTTAATTACGTGGAGTAAATAGTCCATTACACAATATGCGATTATACGATAGTCGTTGTGTAATGAATTTAATTGAAGAATATACTGCATCTTTATCTCGGCTGAAAATCGAGATAATGCATTAATGCAATAATATTACTAATGTTATATGCATTAATAATAATGCATTAATATAAGTTAATTTATTTATATATGGCAGCTTTTATGTTTTAATAAGAGGACACGTATGTATAATTATAATAAACTGAAAATGTTTCTCTTGTAATCTTAATACGTCGAAAAAAAACAAAATTTAATAATCGCGTAATATAAAGTAATAAATTATTTTCCTATATTCATTAAAATTTATTCAAAAGGAAGCTTTATCGCTTTATCAAGCGTTTGCTTAAAACCAACAACACCAATATATAATTTTAATTAATTAATCTGAGGAATAATTGTTATTATAAAAATATATTCGCTAATTAAAAGAGTTACAAAAAGGAGCTTTTGTACACCATACTGTCCGTGATAATACGGAATAATGTAAATATAATAAAAGTTTCTTCGCAATTGACTATAAGTTGCTCTTATCTGCTTTGGACGTGGCATTATCGAGGAAAATGTCTAATGTCCCGCGGATTCCTATCTATATGACTTTACGTAATATCGCTACGATACCGGGGTAGGGGGGAGGGGGACGGGAGGGGATAGCGAAGAATCGGGGCAGGATGGAGGCGGAATAGTGGGAAGCGACGGTGGAAGTCACGTAGGCCGCTTTGGTCCGACGATGATGACGGAGGCCGTTGCCGCTGTTGTAGCAGTCGTCGAGACATCGAATTATCGCGAAGTTTCCGACAGCGCTGGAATACGAATGAATGTGCCAGGAATCGCGGGGTACACGAACGGCAAAATGGACATCCAGGCGGAAAATAGCCCGCGAACGGCGGCTCACTTTGTTCTATCTTGCAGAATTGCATCTTTAATCGACCAACGAAACTCTCTCTCTCTCTCACGAATATTAATCCTCGATTGCCTCGACGACGAGAGGCCGATATCGAGAGTTATGACGTGCCGTTGATTCACGATCTCCCGATATTTGTTTTAATGTTTAGAACATCGTACGGATTCGAGTGACCCGAATCTTTAGAAGAAAGAAGTGAAATCCTTACCGAACTTTCTTTGCGGGAAATTAAAGGATACTAAGATTGTGAACTGTGAAAGTTTCTAAATCATAATTTTTCGCTCCAGCGTCACCTTAAGATTTTAACAAATTTTATTTACGATAGAGCTTAAATAAAGATAAATAAAAATTTTGACGAGACCAACGAATGCTTTAAAATGTGACATTTTTTTCAATCGATTGTCAGTATAATAATTCTGATAAATGTTTATTTTTATAAATTCTGTATCGACTATTTCTTTATTTTAACATCGAATTAGTTAAATTTCGCGATAGTTAAATACTTCCGATTTCGGAATAGATTTTTAAAAATATTATCATATAAAGTTTTTCAACTCAAGAAAATTGAATAGCAAAGACGACGCGTGACGTGCACGTAAGCGTAACATAACACGCCATGCAACGTGGCAACGAGTATCTGGAACTCAGAGCGCAGAGGAAGCCGCGCGTGGGTGCAACGATTGGATTAATTTATCGCTTGGCAGCATTATACAGCCTCTCAAAATCCGAAAAGGGAGCGACGAGTTTCTATATAGCATAAACTACATCTTTACGATGAAGCATGAACCGAAGGTCGGACAAGTCGAAGGATCGGCTTTGCGTTATTTTATTTTAAAACATAAAATATTAAATTCCACGACTAACGTCTCTCTTAGTGTCACGTACGTAAATATAATTATAGTTCCGTTCGCTCATGATAATTTGAAATATATGAACTATAATTAACTCGCACGAATTCTCCGTGGGCGAGCAGCGGTACGGAAAGAATTTTCTGACGAACATTTTTTGCGAGCTCCGGTATTCTCGGAGTTTCCTAGAAAACGTTCGATCGATAACCGCTCAAGTATTTACAACTCTATTCAAAGTGCTAATTCATATGAGCGGCGGAGAACGCGAACTCATTTCGCGAACGTGAAATCACTTGGGATTCCCGGCGCGCGATGGAAGTTCTCGCTTGTCGACGCGCAACGCAAATTCAACGCCGCGCCTTTTCGGTCACTCCGCGTTCTCCAGATTCCCCGGATATTTCTTCTTCGTCGTCGCCATCGCGCGATCCCGCGTGTCGCATGTGGCCGTGCGTGCGCGAGAAAAACGCGTATCGTAATCCGCTTTCTGAGTGTATCGTCGTCGTCGTCGTCGTCGTCCTCCGCCTCCCCATCTCCTTTTCTCGACGCTGACATAACGCAATCTTCGCCTCGTCTTTCCGGTCACGTCGAAGTCGGGAGAGGAAAAAAAAAAGGGGGGAGAGAATTCGAAAACAGAACGCCCCTCCCGCCTTTGCTGTTGCTCGATGCTCTCGAGATTGAAAATTCCATTTCGCCGTTCGTCTTCGACGTCATCGTCATCGTCGTCACTGCATGCCGCCGGCTCGAAACCCGTAAGGAACTGTATGCAAATTTCGATATTCCTTACCGCGAGTAATCTTGTAAATTACACCGCTGCCAAGGATGTGATATAAGATATATTTGTTTTCCAATTTAATGCACCCAATTATCGCAAAGATTTTCCTCTACCATCTTTTTTCCGTTTTACGAAATCACCGACGTCATCGAGAAATTGAGTTGAATAAATCGTTAGATAAATCGCTGTGTTAATTACAGATTATTTCGACAAATCGGACGTCTCGCCGACAGGGAAGTCTCATCGGCGCGGATGCACTTTCATGGACATCCGGCTTTAATTGAAAGCCCAGTCGGGTGACTTTCCACCGTTACATCATTCGATTACGCATATTAAAGTGACGGATCGACGGCGGTAAACAACGCAACAACCGCATGCATATCAGCGGCGACGTTGCTGCTGCTGCTGCTGCTGCTGCTGGCCGATATTTACATTTCGATTCCGATATCGTCATTTCCATTCCGAATTACCGGGT